ATTAGGTTTTGCATATATGAAATATGTTTCTGCTTTGATGTTTCAGATTACTGATCATAAATCTATCATCATATTTATAGATCAAATTGAAAATTATATTTAGAATATATCAGCCAGGTTTCTAATAAAAGCAGTGCAATTTTGTTAGAAGCTAATACAACATAATTGACTGATTTTTATAAAAAAAAAAGTGAATCTGCGAATGCAGCCAGAATTTATATTTACATTTTAAGACTTTTTTAAAACAAAAATCAATCCTATTTTAATGAGGCTAAGGGATATTCGAATTGAATCGTCTTTTATCGCACAACAATCGTTTCATAAAAAAGGAAAAATAACAGGAAGAAATCTATTTTGTATGTTCGCGTGTGGAATTTATCTGTGCACGAAGCGAAATCATCTTGTGTTTAAAAACTAGCAAACGTGAAGTGAAAGTGTATGCAGCCTGTAGAGATTATTAGTGAACCGTTGGCGTTGTAGAGTATAAGCATGAACACATTAATGAGAATTATATTTTATTACCAAGTTATACTTGTATTCCTGTAAAAAAGTATTCACTTTTGTGAAAGTTTTTAAGGTTGTATTAACAATTTTCACATTAAAAATGTTGTTACTCTTTTCTATATCCATACCAATATCATAGATATGATGGTCTTAAACGATATCAACCTTCAAGGTGTTAAACCAATTTAAGACCTGGTAGGAGTATCCTTTATAATATGCTCGTGACACGCTAACGAATATGAAACAGCATGATTCACGAACCGTGTGTTGGAAAAACCAACTTCATTTCCACTTCCATACAAAGTCGCGTTCTACGTTAGTCACAAATTATATAACGTTTAATTAAACGTATACAAATTATTATATATACATTTACTTGTTATAATGTTTATTGCTAATTTTTTATTACAAAATCAAACAGGTTCAAGATCCAACTATTTCATTTTTCCACCACATTGCACAAATACCATTAGCTATTTTTAATAATTGGCCAATAGCGATATTACTTATGTTGTGTAGCTCGTTAGTAAGATGTGAAAAAAATCGAGCGCAGTCCGGTCGAATAATAAAATCGCGAGATCGCGATGCATTCTGAGCATTCGCGACCCTGCCGCATATTATGTAGTCTAGTGAGGTTCGAATCACACTTGTTGAGGGGAAGCCTGCTGGTACCACCACTACCTTTTCCTCCTCCTTCTCTTTACATGATAGTCTCTCCTCTCCTTCATTCGCTCCCCTGTTCTCTTTTCCACCTCTCCACCCTTCCGCCGTGCACCTTCTTCCCACCGTCGCTTCGGTGTTCATGATCTATCTCCCACCCTGAACTGTGCCTCTGCAACTGACCCTGACCTTGTGTCAACTTCCGTATTGTCCGAATACGTCGACTTTCGGCGGAATCTCGAGGAAATATTCTAATCTACTCTGACGATATTCATCTAAATGAAACTTTGCATTATAATTCCTTATTTTCTTTCTCAGAACAATTGATTTAGTTGGATTTGATAGCAAAAATGCTAATTCTAATCATGGTAGAAATTCGAGAAAAGGAGATAATTTATGTTTTGGTGACGTTAAATTTCAGAAACGCTTAACCGGAATCTATTTATATCTTGCTCGAATTGTCGGTTATAAATGGTTCGTTGTACAGCCGATACTATAATATAACCTCGCGGTTAACTTGCTACACATTGGGCACACAGAAGCGGTTAATTGAACGTTGCAAGAATCGTGGCCTAGATCGGAATTTATGTACTCAAACGACGAGACCTGGGATTTTGTTATTTAGTAACATGAAAGACAATGATTTCATTAAAATGTTCGAAAAGAATGTTAACAGATTACACCCTTTGACAAAAATCAAGATTTTACCCTACAAAGAATAGTTGAATAATGAATCAATGAAATGTATGGAGTTTTAAGAAATATAATGATTTCGGGAAAATCTAATCATCGAAAAAAGCATGTGTACGTATTTAAATGCGAAGAAGAAAAGAGAAGTAAAAGATTGCCGTGTATGCATAAATACATACATACGCAGTTCGTGTACACACATAAATGTACATATTCTTGAATGTTTGTACAATTTTAAGAAATCAGATCAGCGGTTCTAATACTCCGAGCAAATAATAAACATAGTAACTACATTATGCATACTTATTAAAGTTCAAATAATTTATTAAAATAATTCCGTGTAGGCATTAGTGTATAAATAGCGTAAGCACAAGTAACTGTATCTGTGAAATTTATTTTGTACTTGTGTGAAACAAATATCCTTGGTTACTCTACGCGAGAAACACTTTCACAAGCGGTAACATTCTAAGATAAAAATATTTCCGATAAGTTATTTTAAACAACGAAGAGATTGTATAAAAACTCTTTCTGTAAATGCGACAAGAAAGAAATACTAAAACTCATCTCGAATGCAGGCGCTGCTGAATATGCAATGACTCGAATGTGTTACTAACAATTTTAATACCAACGAACAATGTTTGATGACGTCATGTACTATACATTTCCATATACCATTTTCTTTGAAAAAGGTTTGCACATTATGTTTCTTGTAACAAATATCTAAAAATTGTGTTTAGGTTGATATATTTCATTCTCTTTACAAGCCGAGGAGGTCTATATTTTCTCCTTAGATAAATCAATTTAACAATAGCAATGAAGAGCAGAGCCAAGGATATTGCGTTTAAATCATTTCAATCGCTTTGTTACTCATCACCGTATGTACAAAGAGAGCTCGTTACGTTGGATGAAAAACTGCTGTACAACATACATGAGTCGAAGGCACAATCAATTATTCCATCGAAAAAGCCTGAATCACTGTTCAAAGTTTTCAACGGACTACCCTTCTGAAACCGTTTCATCTAATTTCTTGAATAAATATAATTCTAATTTACGATTATAAGTATATTAATATAAAGTACCGCATGGAAACAAATTTCATTACCCATTGAACAAATAAAACGAAGACGATTTACATGTGCACACGTAATGGCATAATAACTACGTACGTAAATTTTTTGCTGAAAATCTGATAAAATATCCGCCTTCTCATCGTGTTTCCTTTTTTCTGCAAAATTCGTTACACTGTGCGTCTATATCGTTTGCGCACATGAATAATAACGCGTGTCTAAATTAGTGTTTATAACTTTCTTAACTACACGAACGCAGGATGAAATGAAATGATTAATATTCACCCATTTTTATTACTTCGTATGAGAAATCTTTTAATATGTTATTCAATTTTAAATTACCGCGTAATCAAATGCCATTAGTTATATTGTTAACAGTCTGCTAATTCATTTGGGAAACATGTTAAATTAAATTAAATCGAATGTTTAATTTCATTTTGCATGACGAAGATGCTCAAGCAGCTGTTATCGCAACATCTGGATCGATTTTTATTCTTGCAAAACGCGCTTAAATGGCAAGTGCATTCGTTTCGGGGAACAATCGTTTTCCCATGTTTCCGGGGCGCATTCCTCGATCATTAATCACGCGTGATAGATCGAAACACGTTTAAGAAGAAAACTTTCCCATCCCTAAATTTTCGAATTTGGTAGTCATTCAACGAATAGACCATGTATAAAAATAAATTCAATAAAAATTACTTTGAATATAGATTTTAACCTGTTAACCGTGGAATTTAGTTTTAAAAAGCCACAGTGTGAAGAATTAAAATCAGTCCACCAATCTCTAATGCGGAGACCAAACATGTACCAACCACTTATCATTTGGCTGACTTCTATCACCCCCTCCGTATAAAATACTTAGCAGTTCTATTGGTAATATAAAAGAAACATCCCACCAAATAATATTCTTATTGTATTTGGTTTGACGTGTATACACGTCAAACACACTTAACAGATTAATTGCAGAGACATAACAAAAACTATGTACATACGATATAAATTTATATGATGTATTACTGTATAAATGTGTATAATATAATAATCAGACAATTTTCATTCACAAATTTATTAATTAACTGAGTAGAAGTGTCAAATTTCTGACTAGAATAGATTTTCTTTTCGGAGTACGCATGATTCCCGCGCTTACGATTAAGGGGGTGTGCAACCGCTCGCTGGTTTGCAGCCGTAAGGTAAACGGACCGAAGTGAGATTGTTGCGATCAAATTATACCGATTAGTCGATTATTTAGGTAAAACTCTGTGTAATCTTAAAAATGCGAAACAATGTCATGGATATCGATTATAAATGCTTTCTGATAAAAAAAGTATATTGAATAACGTTAAGTTTAAACAACATGGATTGTCGTACATCATATTTACTCATTAACATGCAATAATACATCTTGTAAATAAAACGTTTCATATTTTACTACATATTAATAAATAAATATATTATATAATGTTCATTGCTTTGTGATTGATTGATAAGAGTTGATGAAAAGTTGACAAATAAATGAAAAATGCAGTTCATTACTCCTGCATTGTAGCTGTTTCTGTATCATATAAAACAAAAGAATATCGTTTTACTTCGAATCATTCAAATGCATAATCACATTTATACAAATTTTAGCATTGTCGCGTATCGAATATTGCCCTAAACAATTTCTTGTTCTCTATGAATTATTCAAATTTGTAACTGACGTAATACATGTTTACGATGATGATAATCGTTTAATAGATGACAAACGCTTTACATGCAGTTCGATTTTGTTTTATCTTACAATTTCAAATTGTAGTGGAAAGCAATGTCTATAAAGCGATTGTGAATGCGCTAAAATCACATTCACACGTCGCGCTAATGACGCGCGGAAACAAATTACGCGGTCCCGACATGATATCTCCTAATTTTTCGCTCATTATGCACGCTAGGAATAATGTTTAGTAACGGGCGTCGAATGTAATATTACATGGCCGCGTTAAAGATTGAAAAACGAGAAAACAAAAGACAATGTTTCGGAAGGACATGAAATGAAAATTAGTCGACTTTTATCAAATAGAAACTTATTTTGATTGGACTTACCTTTATCCATCCTCCATGGGCAGTAACGACAACGTACAATAAATACAGATCTATATCTTTCCCATTGACTTTTGGGTTTTTCTTGAACGAAGTCCTGTAAAATGTGAAAACAGATAAATCGTTAATTTTATGTAATAAACGAAACGATATTGCGATACGTGATCACGTTTGTTATATAAATGTAATTACATAAGTAATGAATGGCAAATTTTATTTGTTTAACGCTTAACGAAGCAAAATTAATAGCAAATTTAATAATGTATCCCACAATTAGTTATATTCCATAAGGGGCAGCACAAATTTGTAATTTAATACGTAATAATAAATGCAAATTGTACATCATGTTTATAGAATGCATGGCTTGAAAATTTTTTTCAGTTTATTAAAATCTAGTATAATGCTGCTTTGCACGACATTTTATCAAATGAGAGATGATTCTTGTTAAGAAACACAAAATATAATAATAGAAGCAAATCGGAAGAATATATAAATTAAATATTTATGTTTTCTTCCCTTTGATTGTACACAATAAACGTGTCGTGTTGATTACAATACAAATTTTCACTGAGGTTACGAACGCTTGGTATAATCGAGAACTCTTTGTTTCGATCTTCGAAGCGAGTAAAAAGCGAACAGTGACGTAATAAAACGTAGCTTCTCTATTCAAAACGATCTTAATATATTCAATTGTTCGAACGGTTCGATGAACAAGTAACGAGAACAGGCTGGTTAACGAAAAAGCGTAGCATTTAAGTAAATTAATCGTACATAAGATTGGACGACACGAATTGCCACGGCAAAAAATCAACATGTCCACCATAATATTATTCATTTCGATTAAACATAACCTCAATCGCGCGGTACGATACGCGTCCGATAATCATTGATAAAGAAACACAGGTACATGCGTAAACAAATGGCTTGCATAAAATCGAGTCTTTCTCTCGGAGAAACTGTAAGCTATAATCGTACATAACCTCAACTCTATCCGCACACACAAGTCTACGCAACGCTAACTTGATTTACTTTCCCGTATATGCTACGTCGCGAATTCGTGGCAACGGGATTCGTACAGATGAATCTCGTAAACGTTCGATGCGCGAAAACAAATAATCGTTCACGAGAGCAATAAAGAGAGACAGCGATAGTAGGTAAATAATAATGGAAGCGAGATTGCCTTACCCTCTGGTCTCGTGGAAATGACGGAGGTCCTTCATGAAATTATCCCTTTCCCTCTCATAGGTGACGGGGTCCTTGTTAAGGATCTTGGCCATATTCGCGAACGATAAGAGTGCGTGGGCGTGCTATAAGAGTTGGGGTGTGCTCTGGGTTTACAGGGCACTCGAGGGCAGCAGGCAGAAAGAAGAGAAGTGCACATGGGCGCTCATTAGAGCACATTTACGCCAGGAGCGTCCTGGTGCCGTGAAAGAGGAGGCGAGTGTGCGTGGACAAGGACGAGGACGACCACGGGTCGACACGGGGTCGCGACCCGCTCCCGACATCGGGTCGTCTTGTCCTGGCCCGAGGTGTCGGCCGGTGGCCTTTTGTCGCGCGCGCGAAACTAGACAGATACGGAGAACAGAGAGCAGCGGCTTTTCCCTGCTGCACACCGCCACCCCGGGGATCGGAGAGCGCACCAATATACTCTACCGTGTCCCTCGCACTGAACTCGGCCGGCGTGGGGAAAAATCCGAATACCGTACACGTACGTAACCGTTCCACACACAGTAGTCACTACCGATCAACCGAGCGAACCGTGTTACGGACACGGGAGGCCGCAACGCGAGTTTCCTCGCGGCCCGATCGATTCACCTGTCACTTGTCAACGAAACGCCTCGGATCCGTTGCGCCACGCACTCGTACCAACGATGCCCGTGAATCTTGCGAACCAACGAATTCACCCGCGCGGTACTACGCGAAGCGGCAGACCGCGACTCGAGACCGCGTTTCCCTAGCGAGCGAACGCTTGACGTGCGCCCGTATATCAAAATGGCGTCTCCTCCTGCCTGGCATCCATTGGCGAAGCCACGGCCAATTTCCCGTACACTGTGATAGCTACGGCCAGCGCCGTACCCTACACACCGCGACACCGTTTCCGCTAAACACACCTCTCGCACCGCATGCGGCACACCCTCGCACACTCTACGTCATTTTACGCGCGACACCGCGTTGCCCCGATCGCACCACAGCCTAGCCCTCGCCGCTTTTTTACCCTCGCCGTACCGTACAAACAAAATCCCGGGTCGCGCAGTATTTTTACTTTCAAAATGGTGTGGACCCCCCTCGTCAGTGGCGCACCGTTTGAATTGATCATACGCTTCGCCGGTAGAGGCGCGGTCTACTCTGGAACACGCTCACGACATCTCTTGGTCACATCGTCACATTACGTTTTCCGCCATCAGTCTTACGCTAATTTCAAAGTCAACGTTTTTTCCTCTACCACGCATGCCCTTTCGTTTTGCTGGAGTGTGCGCGGCTGTCAGTAGTCGTAAGAGAAAAGAGTAGCGACGAAGCTTCAAGAAGCGAGAACCTTTAGGGGGATCTCTATCCTTCTTTTTATACTCTCTATTTATATTATCTTGTAGTAAATTTAGCTATGGTGGAGATAGAAGTTCAGTATTCGATTGAATCACTTGAATTTACAACATTGTCAATCACTCGAGAATATTATCGGTACGCAAGCATGTGGTTTACGCGTTGAGTTCAGCAAACACGCATTATACTCTTATAGAAAGAGAAAGAGATTCCTTCACGGTCCCTCTTCGTCGGCGAACATCCCCCTCCCCCTCCATTCGTTCACACTCCAGATGTATAAACTATAAACTGCCATAATCAATAATCATAGGCTGTTATTCAGAGTCGTTGCGTTATTCTCAAGATTGTCTTAAGCATTTGCTTAAGTCGTCGAGTTACATATTCCGGTAAATAAGCAAATGCTTAAGGCATCGCTTCAAGCATTTGCTTGGCTAAATAAGTAATTGCTCAGTCTGGAGGTCTGTGCGCACGCTCAGTTCAGTCGAATAAGCAAGTGCTCGAATAAGAAATTCTTATTCGGCCGAAAGAGGTATTTATTGCTTGAAAAGTGAGGTTGGATTTTCAAGTCGACGTTTACTCGACTTAAGACAAGCCCACACGTACAGGTCACGTACAGGACGTAAGCATTAGTGTTCGTGAGCCGTCAAAGCGTTTCAGAGGTTAGTTGTACGGAAAAAATGGTTCTCGCGTCGAACAAAATACAAATTGATATCGAAGAGGATATGGAAGATATCGAAAATGTTAAAAATATCGACGACGTTGAAGAGAGCATCATGGACTTAATTAATAATTCGAACCTAAGGAGGAACCTATTCACGATTGGCAAAATTCATTCGAATATTACGATGAATTCAAATTTAGAGGACGGCCCAAATTTAATAAATGAGATATATGATTGAAGGATATAGGAATCCAGGGATGGAACTTGTGGGGGTAGCCATTTCCGCAGTAAAGGGTAAGGAAAATTATATATGTTCTATATGCATATGTACAAATGAAATGAAATCATGAAAAAGAGCTTGAACACCGATTTTGCAGATTTATCTAAACACGAGTCAGTGAATAGTTTTGTGAACTATTGTGAACCAACCAGAAAAAGTGTTAGAGCCGAAGAGAGGTGATTCTGTAAGTGTTTCTGAACAATAATTTCCTTTGCCTAATGCAAAGTGAGCCGTGGTTTTTGAATTATTAACGAAAAATATCACTGACCAATGAAAGCACGCGTAGGGCCCGCGCTAAGCCACGGCCGAGCATCACGATCTGAGCCGACCTATTCGTGACCCGACGCGAGCCATACGCGTGCTCTCATTGGTCAATGTCAAAAAACCATGACACCCTGTATATGTCTTTTTAAGTTTCTAATTGAATGAGTATAAAAAAAAATTTGTATCGTAATTTTATGAAAGTTGTTTATTTATTAATTCATTTAATGATAAATTGTTTCATTATACGAACAGTAACCTTTTTAAGGACTGGGTCTTTTTGACCCGGGACAGTAGGGGCAGGTGTACAAGAAGGTTCAAATAGTTTAGTACTAACGTAACGTATAAATATATATAGACATTCATAAATGTAGAACTTTCATACAAACGGATTGATGACAAATGAAAATTCATATTTTATCATTTGAAGTTAATGAGATACTTATATATGTACCACTCGTAAATGCATTTACGGTCGAGAAAAAGTTTTGTACCTACCATATCGGATACGTACGCGAGTCACAGACTTGGCATTACTGATGTAGGGCGGTATTCAAAGTTCAGAGTCGTTATTTATATTTAAAATCGTCTTAAGCATTTACTAAAGTCCCTGTTTCCTGCACAAGACAGGGACTGGAAATATGGGATAGACAGGGATAGGAAGTGCTTAAGACGATTTTAGATATAAATAACGACTCTGAATACCGGCCATAGTGTAATAACATCGATATTATACTGCACATTGCAGATAGTGCTATTACATTATTGGACATAATATAATAACACTCATAGCACGCTGCACAAGACACAAGATATGGGTGTATATGATTTTACATATGTATAAAACATCCTTCATGGAGTTTTGCACTCTACTCGATCGGCATTTTGCGGCCAGTCGCATACGTTGTTCCTCGTGTTCCAGATCAAGTTGTTGGGGCACGTAAACTTGATCGGCATTCCGTGGACGCATTCGTAATACTATAATAAAGAAACGTACAATAGCACACAACGTGAATAAAGCGGAACCGCGCGAATATTAGAATTAGAAGCTTCGTATTTAGTAGTTCAGTGGTACTTACGGAACGACAGTCCTTAGATGGAATGAACTTGTTGACATTTTCGCAATTGAGTTTGTCCGCTTCGCCGTCGTCTATCGGTGCTTGAGTACTGCTAGGCTCGGACTTGTCCGATTGTTCCGTGGTCGAAGTTACTTCCGGTTTTTGCGTCGAGGGTGTATAAGTGGGTTTAGTAGTCGGAACATAATTAGACGGGGTGGTACTCGGTGGTTTCGCCCAGTCGGGCTACAAACACATATAAAATTATTATTATTATTTTTAAATTACAAATTTATGCAAAATAAAACGCTCGTAATTTAAGAAATAGAATATATATCGAAGCTTCTTTTATCTTTTATAAACACCAACACGTATTATTATTCTGATGTACTGAACACTTCTGTACGCTGCATGCATTCTTTATGTTTACTACATATTCGATTTATGTATAAATGCATAAAATCCGCAGTCTAATTATCGTAGTCTAATGTTAAATGCAAGTTTTACACGTAAGAAAATCGCTATTGTTTCTGCATCGATTCGATGCATGAGCCACTTGAAAACCGGTCGATACATTCAATCGTGAACTCTTACCGTGGGTGTAGTGTGGAAATCTTTGTCTGGAACAACGTATCCGTTCAGTCCTCGGTGGATGACGTTCATTAGAGGGTTGCGATCGCCGCAGAGTCCCTGGAAGTCGTCCATATCGACGGCCCAAACCATGGCTCCAGCGTACTTGGATTCCTTTATGAAATCAATCTTATATTTCACGCTCTCCGCGTTTTCGTAACCGACCCATTGTGTTCCTGTATGCGACATTAATGTAGAGACAATAGAGAAGTTAGCGTGTTCGTGCGAATTGGCTCGAGCAGCTTGGGAAACTTACAACCCCAGCTCCCCTCAGATTTCAGAGTCGTTCCCATATTTCCAGTCCCTGTCTTGCATAGGAAACAGGGACTTAAGCAAATGCTTAAGACGGTCTTAAGAATAAGCAACAATTCTGAATAGCGGCCACTGTGTCTGAGGAGCCCGTGACCGCTGTTTTGGTGCAACGACACAGCGGTAATTCCGGATTCCTCATCTCATACGATTACGTTTGAGAAATCAAAAGGGAAAAATAATCGAACAAAATTGTCGGTACTTGGCCGAACGTATCGGAATTTCGCGCATTATTATCACCGATAGATACTTTTTGCGGTTTAGACCATTTTTTAAAAGCAGAAGCACGTACCTTGATACATGTACGGAACTTTGCCAACTGCGTCGAACTTCTGGGTCCAGTTACTGCCCGGAGCTTGCAACCTGGTACAGATCTACAACAACTAGTCATATTAAACTGCGACCATCACGTTTTGTCGAGTTTCGTAGGGACAATCGTACCTCGTAATAGGAGAGAAATCCTTTGGCCCGCGTGTATTCCCCGGGTTTGCCGCCACCGGCCTCTTTGTTGATGTAAGTACCCGGCTCGTAATTGTTGTTGCTCTGGCTGAGAGTAAACGTACGTCCGTACAACGGAATTCCGACGACGAGTTTCTTAGCGGGACACCCTTTTTCCTCCCAAAGTAGAAGACCATCGTGCTGCGATAAACATCGTATGTAAAATACTATCTATGCTATGTTGAATTGTACTATGTTCTATGCTATGTTGAATTGTACTATGCCCTATCTATGATAATCATAACTACCAGCGGGGACTAGTTTGCACTGACTTATTATTATCTTTGAAGTAAAGGCAGTTAGACTTGAACTTTGTACAAACTCCTTAACGGTTCTTTAAATAGTCCTGAGATCATCTCACTCTAATGTACCAACATTCTCTTGTAGGCACCCCTCCCTTGTCAAACAGGAATTCCACTGTACTCTATGGTCAGTACAATAGCGTTAATAGGCTAATCATTACCCTTAATCGTTTTTGCAACGACTTTCCACATTCAAGTGGAATGTTTTGTCCCCAATTACTTTTACTTTTCGCGATTCCTCTCTTTAGTTAAAATTTGATCTCTCTTCTTGCCCCATTTCTTATATTTAAACCTGTTTTGTCTTCCTTTCTGTTTCGTCCGTGATATCCGATTATGCTCGTTAGTAAAGTGATAATTAGACTGCAGATGTTTATGCATTCATTGGAATTTCCAATAATAGAACACATAGAAATTTACATAAACATCAGCAGTTTAGTAATAATAATAATAATAATAAAACGCGAAAAATATAACGCGTAAATACAATACATATGGTTACTTGAAAAGAGTTTGAGCCAGTTACGTGCAGGTACAATCGATATAAGCTTACCACGTTCAGTTTTTCGTAAGCCCACTGATCGTGCGGTCGGCGGTAAAGAGGGCTATGCACGTCCGCGAATCCAGCCCAATTTCCGCGAAGGTCGTACGCCATAACGTGAATAGCGTCCATGTACCTGCGCAAGTATAGCACTTCCGTCTTTACCGTTTAATCGTAAGCGGGGAAACACAAAAGGGAAGTCAAAAAGCGAGTTGTCCATGACTTGTATAACGTAAAACGAATCGCTCACTTGCATAATTCGGGCACGTGGTATCCTTCGTCGAGACGGAACTTGGCCATCGGTACCGCGATTGTTAACTCCCATCCCTTGTTCTCGGCGTCGAAAGCCCGACGCAATTCCTCTACGAAGTAGAGGAAGTTGTCCTTGTCCGAAAATTTGCCACCTCTATCAGCGGCTCCGGGGTATTCCCAATCGAGATCGAAACCGTCGAACTCGTATTTTCGCATGAATTCTATAGTAGAATGTTAAAAAATAATTCATATCGGAGCTGGTTTCATCGTACATGTATACGCGGTTCATCATTCACGAGATCCTCACCGACTACGCTCTTAATGAAACTGTCCCGTCTCGGTTTGACACCGACCAGGGCGCTGTACTTTCTGCCGCCTTCGCCCCATCCTCCAACGGCCACAGAGGTTTTGAGGTGAGGATACTTGGATCTGAGCTGGTTGAACGCCAAGTAGTTACCCTTGTCGACGTCTAATTCTGGGTCTAAGACTAGCACTTCCCAGGTGACGTTGCTCACCCCGATGAATGAATAAATCACGTGCGTACAGAGATCGGCCGGGATATCGTTCACGCCGTAACTACCAACGTCAGGTCGGTAGATCGCCCAGTTACTGAAGTAACACGTTATCCGGGCAGGTTGCTGGCCAGCTGAAATTTTTCGTGTTCGAAACCGCGTTTCTTGCAGGATCCACTCTCGATTTTCTGATATTTTACCCAAAGCACCTGTGCTATTCACGTTACGTACCTGTCGCGCTGACGAAAACGGCAAGAAGCAATGGTAGCAGAAGATTCTTTCTGGTTTGAGCTGTCATCTCTGAAACTGTAAAAGATCTGGTCAATTTTCAATATACGTACGTTTTCGAATAGGAACGAGCCGTGGCATGACTTTTGAATTATTATAACGAAAAACAGTGACCAATGAGATCACGCGTAGGGCCCGCGCCCAGCCATGAATAGTTTGGCTCAGATCGTGACGCTCTCTCTAACGCTAACCCTTTCTCTACAAGCGCCGACTATAGTCGGCATCCACGCGATATCTTTTGTAAACGAGCGCCGGCTATAGTTGGCATCAATTACATATTAAATATATAATTATAGTCGCCAATATGCACACTTTTCGGGGCAATGGCTCGTTCAGTGAGACTACTCCGGTGGAGCGGACTGCCGTAGCGAAAGGGTTAAACACACACTCCATCACGGAGCAGTTCTTCTTGAATAAATAATAGTTTTAGCAGATGTTTCTGGATTTTTATTTAATTCACCCGTCTCAATCTTCATCCGAGCCAAGTTGGGGCATCCTATCCCTAACATCGACTATTGTTAATATCTTAAATTTATTACAATTCTGTCGTGCCCTTCGTATTTTTCGTCCTCCTCTCGTTAACAAAGTAATAACAATGAATCACGGGCATCGGCATCGGATGGATGGGTATAGTGTTCGAAGCGACGCGTTCTTCAAGCAGGAATTGAACCGCGACCGGTTTCCACAAAAGCAAGCACCGTGACGCGTAAACATTTTTCCCCAATGCGACGCGACGTCCTGCTTTTATTCGCGTTCTTCGAGCTAACGACCTGCGCTGCCGCGGCTTCGTACGAGACTCAAGACCGGCGTTCCGGCAGATTAAATAGATCTCGAAACCGCTAACCGCGCAAATCGCGTTCACGCGATAAATTGCCGAATCGATCCCTGTGAACGCGTTCGAGACTACTTTTTAACAATAATAATACTTTATTAATACTGTATTTAAGGAAACTTTTTATATATCTACCTCTACAGACCCGCGTCAATTTGACGCGTTCCGTAAAGACTGATACACTGCATAGAGATCCCTAAAATTAGAGAGCTTTGAAGAAAGAGAATTTCGGTATAAATTAGACATAGTCAGTTAAATGGATAATAGTCAGTATAAGTACTAGAAAAAAAAAAGTAAACGGTTTCCGTAATTTTCCTCATGAAATTCGGAATGCGTTGAAATGATGCGCCTCGTGAACCTAGTGTCAAAGGAGTACGTACCCTATGCGCGATGTCAAGAATTAAGAAGTCGATTTGCGTTTGCACGTTCGGGCGTGGGTCTACCCTATTCGGGACGAAAACGAGTTTTGGTCCACGACGCGAGAAGCGCTATGGAATACCTATTAAAAGTTCAAATACCTCTTCAACGGGAGTTCGGGCGCGACGCGACGCGGCGACACGAAAACCGAAGCGACGTAAACACGCAAGTATGCACGTAGACACGTGTGCGTGTGCGTGGACCGGCGGACCGGGTCGACCGGTAAATCCAATGAATCTTTTTACATAAATACGAGAGGATACGAAAACAGAGAAAGAATCGCGCCTACCTACCAGTAACCGTGTAACGTCTGACGTCGCCTCGCGCGAAATCGATCGAAACTGCGAAACTTAAAATCTGAGAGCATTGAATGTAACTTTTTCCGGCTGATAATGAAAATAAAAGGAACGATGAGAGAATAATATTTTCGTAGAGCGAATTGGAATGCAGGCTGCATCGGATCCTTCGACCACCGCTACCACTACCATTTCACGATTTGCGTTCTGAATGTAAATTGCTTTCCGCTCTTCGATCCGAAATGCTTCGGAGGACATGTATCTTGTCTTCTCGACGTAGACCAGAATATCAGAGGACGATCCTGCCGTTAGAGTCTCATGGACTCGTTTACTTTCCCTTGCCGGACAAACACGAATCGATCGTTCCCGCGCAAATGACTGTTTAACGATAATATATTATATTATATTATAGATGAGTTCGATCGACTTTCTTTTTCGACGTTCGACTCAATGAATAAACTGCGAGTCTGAGAATAGAAACTTGGGGCGAAAGCTCTGAAGCGCATCTTCCTACTCATCAGAATTTTCTACTCGTACGTATTTATTTATCGGATTTCCTGCACGTATAGGTAAAAAATGTATCGTTTACTTCTCGACGTACGTGAATACGCGCTGTCGCTGACTCTATCAGAGGAAGAGATAAGATTGGAAGCTCGTGAGGTGGGTTGGTTCAATAATATAACACTTTATAAGTGCTTATTGCTATGACGATGATCGGTGATCGATTCAAACAATTTACTGTGATTGCGAACAATAGCGATATTTTGTAATTCTCAGTAGAATCGTTTATCGTATGTTATCTTCGGTTATTGAGTGCGATAATCGATTCGCGAAAATCTTCCCTAACTATCAACGATGAGTAACGTTGTAACAAAAATACTGCGTATTCGTAGCTGCACCTACGATCTACGACAATTGCGAACAGACCGGTCGACGTTGATAAAAATCACAATAGATACATTTAGACCATTTTATATACATGGAAATATACACGTTTATGTTGCACACGCAAAGTGTTAAAAAGGATCGCTTGCGAATTACTCGAACGAGAATTTATTCTCTACTCCGAGATCTAAAAGCTTCTACAGCGGTTAATAAAAATGGACGAAAGGAAGAAGCTGAAGAAAGGAGTAGGTACTCACCTTCGCGGCTACCTCCTTCGGCAAAGATGATGGCTTCGGTCGACGTTAAGCTCTCATATATACCCGAGTGGACCTCATTAGAATTCACGCGCGGAAGGCCCGAGACGATTGGACGGACGGTCCGCGGTCGGCCGCGGCCGGTTCGACGACCCTCTGCCTCCCGCGCTCCCGTGGGACGCAGCGATCGCGATCTCTTCGGCTATGCTCCGCTATTCGATTCGTCATCGATCTCTTTGTCTCCATTCTATTCTTCCTTGGCGTACGACCTTCTCCTCGGATTCGTCTTCCTCCCCATTTACATACGTACGTACAAATAAATCTGCTCCGTAAACAACTAGACCGGAGTCGTACATATGTATATTATATATAGTTTGGAATCTTAAATGCAAAGAAGATATTAAATAAAGTTGATTTCAAGGGACAAATAAGCGACTTCTCAACGGGCAATTAGACTTTATTATAAATTTGCCTATATTTTTACTGTGTATCTTAAATCCATTATTTTTACTATATTTTTACTGTACTCTTTCTACTGTGTGTTGTAATTTCCCCGTGAAATAAAGTATTATTACTATTATGAATGAAAAGAAATTAACACTTTTGCCTCTCTCCGAGTCTCATCGACGAACAACAACATTGCCTATCTTCATGGAAGATTGTCTATTTTTCTGGAATCCCAAGGGAGTCACAAGGGAGTCATTAGGGAGAGAACGAAAGAAAGATGAACAGCCGACGTTATATACATTTTATTTCATTCGTGTAACAATAACAGTTCCTGCATTTCACAGTAGATAGGTTTATTTTTTACACTAGTTCCTCGTGACGTTATACATATATGTATCGTAAACTTAACGACCCAACTTGCGCTCGGGTAGGTACGCGATCGCAGTCACGCTCGAACGTTACGCGTGTCACGGACCAACGGAGACGTCGTCGGTCCTCGCGGGTGCCGGTCGTGCGATTGCCTCTCCGAACGGAAACAAAGCTGTATACTCTCTCGGTCTACGAGAGAAAAACTCTTAAAAAGGCAAGACGATCGAGTCCGTCCTTCGCCGGCTAACGACAAGCTCTTTGCGAATCTGTTCGTTCGGTCCGGTGTCGCGATAACGTGTGCGTCCTACGCGTGTATCGTAAAAAAATTACTCCCGGCCGGCACTCGTCGACCGAGGAGTTTTATATTTACGCGATAGAAACAACTTCTTACGAGTATACGTACGTGCGCGTCGTGATTAGCGAGATGCCCTTCTCGTTCGCCTAGCGAACAGTCGTCGACGACGAGAGACCCCTACGTTTAACGTATAACAATCGCTCGCATCGCTCATCTCGTCGTCTTTATTGCTAATCGTTACGTCGTTATTATTATTATTATTATTATTATTATTATTATTATTATTATTATTATTATTATTATTTTAATTGACGAGCAGACGTCGCGTTCCACGATCGGTCCGCTTTTTTCCTCTACACACACGTATGCGCACGTGATCGCGTGATTTGGCACTCTCCGATGGAACGTTATCCGTCGTTCTAACTTATAACGTCTAGGCTTTTAACAGATCCGTACGTGGGTATTAAATTTGGAAATACGCGCGTTCCTCGATCCTTGAAAATGCCACGCTAGGAATATACGCGTATGTACATAAAAATGATACCGGGTCGTTTTCCGCGGTTATGATGTTCGTGAGGAGGCTTGGAAATCCTTTAGAATCGAAGTAGAAATTAAACCGTTGAACCAGCGCGTATAGATTTACGAGGTACCGGGGGTAGTTACATGATTTAGCCCGGAAGGATCGAGGAATGATTTCGTCGATACGAAGAGTACGTCGATACTCGATTGTTCTCGTTGAAGGGACGCGTGTCTTACGCGTAACGTATGTATATATTAAATCCTAGAAGATAGTTTCTCGCGTGTGTATAAGTATAAAGTGTAAGCGGTACGGGAATGGACCTCGGAAAATCGCGAAGATCCCGTGATACGGAACGTACGTTATTTTACGGTGTGTTAAGGGACGTTTCCAAGCGTAATTACTAAATAGGTGTACGTTACGCGTTTCTTAGTTTACGATTCGAATATTCTATAGCAGTCGGATGAATCCAGTTAGTTCATATATTAAGAAACGAACGAGCGGATTAGATATCTAGATATTGTGGACAGCGAGCTTTGCTTACGAATCTATGTATCGTATGACCGAGCACATTTCACCGTGTTCACTTATGGTTACCTATATTACGAAGGTCTAATTATACGCGGTTACTTGTAGTGACTGTTTTCATTATTTCATCGTGCTATACAATCGTAGTAACTATTTATACTCTTTTACTCCGTTTCTTACAATTAGTAGGTATCATCATAGTAGGTATCGAAATTGGCCACGCAACAACGCGGTGGCTGTCTTCTAGTAAACGAGGTTGAGCATCCGAATAATTTAGAGGATTACGACTAGAGGTGTGGGAGTACCCGACGTATCGGGTCGCGTAGGCAAGAATCAGGCGAGCTCGAGCGAGAACTCGGTACATTCAAATCTTTGGGTAACTACACCGAGCTATCCTATAAGATTTAGACGTACCGAGTACTCGTCCGAGCTCGTTCCACTATCACCGGCTCCGACGTATTACAACGTTGTCATGAAAAATTCCTGAGAATTTCTCCTCTTCTCTCATTATTTTGTTACTCTACTACTATTCCCCTCTTGTATCTCGCTCATATTTCTCACAATGCCACCACAAATAGTAACTCTTCACTACTCCCCTTAAAATCCTGTAAATCACTCGATGTAGCAACGCCGTACGAGGATCGTGCTACTCGATGCGTCGGGTACTCGCACACCTTTAATTACGACTGTGTTGCATTCGATTCCCTGGTAGTACATTGTTTCTCGTCTATCGTTCATCGCCGAGTCGTTATTCTATGTTGTATTGTTCTATTTTCCGATATCTTTTAGTTGAACGACTACAACGGCGGTGACCGCTGTGCGATCGCTACTTATCAAATTTATTATTATCGTCGTCGATCGATTTCGTGGTAAGCGTCGACCGGGGACCGAGGATCTACGATCCAGGATCTAGGACTTAGAGCCTAGGACCTAGGATTATCGCTATCGATAGTTTACGTACGAAAAACGCGTAGGTATAGGCCTCGTAATTAGTCTTGAATTTTGCGCGCCTCGACAAAATTTTGTGTGTATACTATTATACATAATACATAAAGAACGTGTATATCGTTAAAAACGTACGAATACAATTTTCTTTTTTTTGCAATACAAATGCATTACGAAATATGATCGATCCAAGGGGTAGACGAATATCTTTCGATCGATACGAATACGAAATTGTTCCATCCCAACGACGAATCAGACGAATTTTACGTTTCGAAGCTCTCCGCGTAGTAACGATAGTAAATACAAATTACGTGTATTCAACTAAACGTTTCTTATTACTAACGGTAAACTAAAGTTAATCAAAGGTGCGCGTAATAAAAAAATATAATTAACATAATCGTTTACAGATACACGTTTATCGTTCTCTTCTTTACAGATACCGTTCGTTCAATTGTATTCCATCGCATCCAATATTTACATCATCGCTCGTAACGTAGTACCTGCGTTTACGCGCATCGCAAGTATACATTTACATATGCGTTAAGTGTACATGTACAGGAGTCGAGATACGCGGAACCGATCGCTCCGAATGCCCCCGAAAGATAATTCTTCTAGCTTACGTGTGTTTCCTTGATCAACGATCATGTACGCGAATGACGTGTAAAAAATGTGAAAGGAAAAACTGTCGCCCTTCTTATTCTTAGTACGACGGTGAAAAACAAAAAAGGAGAAGAAACAAGATTACAGTTAGAACACGATGAGAAGACGTTGTGTTTTTATCTACTCGCTTGTTGATCCAGTTGGCAGTAGAGTTAATATTTGTTCTTGCGGTAACACGATTTTTGGTGAGCAGATTCGATGAAATCGGCTGCTTCTTCTTACGAGTAATAATTCTCTCTCTGCTGGTAGAGCGGTAACGGCGTTACCGGGGAGAGGTCGTCGTCTTCTAAGCTCGATTCGGTCTTCAACGGCAGAGTCGCCAGCGCGTTCACTGTCGAATCAGGCTAATTAATCTCAATCACGCATAATAAACGCTCGTCGGAGAACCAAACTGTACCCTGCATCGTGGCTACTCTAGGTCTTCTCAACCCTCTTTCCGATTGCTTTCCAACAGCCGATAGTCGAGCGTTTTATTTCTCCGACGAACGTCAGTTTCAGAACAGGAAGTGACGGTTACCGTGGAACGGGAAACTTGTTAGAGGAAAAAGAATACGGGGAAACACACGCGCGAAGAAAGAGAGAAAAAAAATAAAAAGGAAAATAAAAAAGAAAAACAAACCTGAAGAAATGATAATGCGATGCGCGTGTCGCGTCCTACGGGGAAGGAAGTATGGAGAAAGCATGTCGTTCAGTGTGCCTGGTTACCTATACACAGCAATAAACAATCCAAAAAAACACTCGCTACGCAAACAAAACTATGTATGTACATATATACGTACGTCGATACCGGGAGCCTCGAGGCGGGATATAAAAATAATAGCGCGAGTATCGCGAACGAAATTAATACCTATAAATTCGACGAACGTATTCTCTAAGCGTAAGCCTTTCGCGTTGAATAAGCAGGAGGCGCGAAAACCGCTTTAAACGTCTCATGCTATGGCGGTGACCGCTAATTTCATTCGATGACGACGAGATTCATGCGAAATGGTTCAAACCGACAAACTAACTGTTCGACGATCGTGACTAAGGGTTCAACGTACCCGCCACCATCTTGCTCTTTTCCATAACTTGTTTCGCCAGAATCTGATTCAACTGCAAAATGTGATTCCTCTGCCTCTTCTCCTCCACCACTTTCTTCTTCAAGTTATCGGACTGCTCGACGATATTGTCGTCTATGAATGATCGAAGCGGACCCAAGTTAAGAATTGGATGTTCGTTGGTAAAAGTAACTCGATGAAAGGAAAAGAGAAAATCGCGTACCGTTTCCATCCGACGCGGTCACGGTTGTTTCCGACAGCATCTTCCTTATCGCTTCGGCTTTCTTCAGCCGCTGCTCCTGCTCCTCCGCGGTCAGCTCCGGTGTCTACAATCAGATCGTCGTTACACACTACAAATCGAGGTTGATTCAAAGTATTAGTTACCTGTTCGGGTATGTATCTTTCCGGAATGACGATCTTGTTCGGTGTCCCCAGCAGCTGATCTATGGTGCTCTCGTTGTATTTCAATTCCTTGTGACTTAAAGTCGACCTGACCACATCTGGCGCGTTGATTCTAGGCCTGAGCGCGCGCTCCATGTCCAGATCGTCTCTGGCTCTGCCCATTCCCTGCGCGATGTCGAAACGTTATTACGATGCTCCGACGCGTCGCAGTTGCACGCACACGATTAGCGCGCGACGAAAGCAACGAACGTGACACGAAGCAGATTAGAATAAAAGCGAAACGAAGTCGGGCGGACGTATATTATAGGTAAATTAGTGACGCAACAGGGATGAATGCGAGAACGTAAAACAGGAGAACGAAATAAAAATAAAAAAAATACCATCTTGGCGAAGGTGTCCTCTAGATCGAGGATGGGTTTGCTACTGGATACGGTATAGTGTCGCCTTTTCTCTCGCGGTATCTGCCTCCGCCTCGGCCCGTCAACCTTTCTTTCCGTCATCTCCTTGATTATCTGTTTTGCGGCCTCGCTTTTGAACACCGGTGACAACTGAGGCGAATTGGACGCTGCGTTTACGTTCAGCGTCGAATCTAACGTCCTGGCCTGGCCGTCCATGCCCACCGGCGAGAACGATTCCGGGCTCGTCGGCTCTTGGACTCTTGGTCGATGGGCCTCGTATTGTCTGAACGCCGGCGCCGGCGGCGGCGGGTAGTATCGAGGCGACTGATTCGCCCGAACGGGCGGGTAACTCTGCTGGCTTGGGCTGTACGACGGGCTGCTGGTGGAGTAATTCGGCGATCCGATAGCGACGTGTGAGCTCGAACCGAGGCTCTCCGTGTACGGTGACAGAGTACTGTCCGAGCTTCCGTCCTGGTAGTCGAACTGCGGTACAGTCCATCGTCCGAATGAGACCAGAGATAAAGGAAGATCGTCGCGTCGCGTCGGATTCGAACGAGACGTTGCAGGGTAAAGAACGAAATGATGGAAAAGGGAAATGAACGAAACGAAAAGGTAATCGGATGCGGAGAATGTTTGAAATCGTGCCGATGCGCTGAACGTAGGTGCCTATACATTGGCAGCTTTGAACACGAATAAACTAAGATACGTCCAAGTGGCAATTTGTGCATATTTGCAACGCGAATGTACAGTCGCGATTATGAGAACATGAAAAATTATTCACGACGAAAATAATGGTAACATGCGACGAATTAGTTAGTCCCCGCGAGTATGTCTATGCACGTGTACGTGATAATTATTAATCATGTCAACGTTCAGAAACTTAAGTCGTGGTTAGTACGCACGGTGGATAGATAGACTTTATGACGATCAGGCAGACGAAGAGTCTACGGATACGTGAGTGTACGAAAAATCGATCAAAACAGCGCATCGGGGTGCTGAAAGTTATTAAGAGGAATAAACGGTGGACGCCGCTCACCCTGAGTTTGTTCCGTCGCGCCAGCATAGTTCTCAAAGCGTGCATACTGTCGCTTCTAGGCGGAGGCACCACCGGAACCTGATGAATTTCGGGTTGCCGATGATGCTGATGCCGCTGTCCGCCGAATCCTCTCGGCAAGGACATGCTTCTTTGGAACTGCACGTCGTCCAACTCCGTTAGCTGAACTGTGCTCTGCGCGTGAATCATCGGTGGCTCTTCTATCACCTTTCCTAACTGGCCCTTCTATAAATAAATCGATCGAAAGTGAAGGCGACCGAAATTGAACCCGCGTTAACGCACGCCTGTATTCCATATTCATTTATACGTTCGGCGGTTTTTGCAAACCACAAAACCGTACGTTTGGTCGAATAGGGAGAATAAAGCGCGTGGATTACCTCGAACTTTTGAGAGCCTCCTAGGTCGTCTTCGCAGAGCCTCTTCGCACCGCCAGGTGCCTGGAGCCCGTTCGTCAACGGAATCCCTATGTTCCCAGTTCTGTCGCCTCGATCGCGTTGCCGCCTTTCCGATTCTCGTTTCACGATTCGCACAGTCTTGATCTCCTGCTTCTCACGGTTGTGCATCGACGAGCCTTAAAAATAATCGTTCGCGTTGTATGATTCGATCGACGCGTACGGCATGTCGTCGCCTCTCTTACCGGCAAATTTGTTGTCCTCGTTCTGTCTGTAATTATCGTTCAACGAGGAATCGTCGTTCAAGGGTAGCGGCGGCGGGGGTGGCGGGGGAATATATTCCGGTGGAGAAATCGTACCATTAGTCAAACGTTCCTCTTGGTTACCGTTCTCTGAAACGAAGATACGCGTCGGAATTATTCTCTCGATCCCTTCTACCGATTCACGAGTCACATTCAATGAAATGCCATCTTCCGAAGCTATACATGAAAACGAATCATGGAGCATCGTACACGTGCTTATGCAAATACGTAATACGTAGTCGTACACAATATCCTTACCTTGAATTCTAGAATCCGTGTTGACGTACAAGGGAGCAACGTTCGCCTGCATCATAGATCCCTTTCCTTGCATTTGGTCCTTGAGAAGCTGTTGCTTCAGCTGATGCTGATGAATCTGTTCTCGCAATTGAGGCGCGAGCGAAGACATGTGATGCGACCGATGAGGATGCTGGTACAATTGTTGACGCGTCGTCGGCGACGGATCTTTGATCTGCGTCGTCGAACCGTAATGAGAGAGATAAGGTCCACCGTTCTGTTTGCCACAGGGCGAAGAAGAAAGTGACGGACTCGACGGCGAATCTAATCCATGGTCCAAAGTTATCCCGGAGTCCAGATCGGTCTCCAACCACGAGTTCTGCGTTCGCTTCTTCGACTGATGAACTTGAGGGGTACTCACGTTGACGGATCCTATTTCGGAGAACCGAAGGAAACGAACCAACTTAAAAATAGGATCGTCGTTGATGCTCCACTCTTATTAGCACGAATTAAACTGAATGCCCCATCAATCAAAGTTTTCTATATTAAGAGATTCACTTCCAGATTTAGCAAAAGTTAATAAAGTCTGTCACCTATTGGATATATTTAGTGACTCCAGTCACATCGTTATGATGGAAGCTACATGCATACTTTTTCGCCTCGCATTACTACTAAAGATATTTTTCCTAAATTGCATAAATATGGACTGTAGATCTCATAATTCTTTATATAATCTATTATTTTAATTATACAGCTGGTTTATAATCCTATGAATATAAAAAAGGGTATCGTTATAAATAAATAAAATAATTATACGCTGCTCACCGGAAGGAGGTTGCGGTCGTATTTGTTGCACAAGACTATGTGACTTCTCGGTAAGCTGCCTAACTTGAACGCTCAACTCTTTTCGCTGCCTCTGCAAGTCGCCCACCAATTGTTGAACTCTTCTCAGCTCCGCTTCGAGAGGACCGGTCGTGGCCGAAGTGTCCCTGGTCACATTGCCGGCGTACCTCCTCGACGCCTGCAGCTTCTGTCGTAACACCACCAGCTCCTGCTCCAACCTCGCGTTCTCGGCGACCGTTTCCTCGAGTTTCTAAGAAAAATTCCGTTCCGGTTCACGTTCGAATCAATCTCCGCTTACTTATACGAACGATACCATAGATCCGTTCAAAATCAAGGTATGTTACCTTGGAATTGTGAGCCAGCAGCGCTCTCACTCTGCTGAGCTCTCTTTCTAGGAGAAGTTGCTGCTTCCTGTATCTCTCGGTTTCCGCCAAATTACTCCTGTTGCCCTGCAGTTTGTGCCGGAGACCACCCAAAGCTTTCTCCAACATCTCCTGCAATCGAGAAATCGTTCAAATTCGCTTGAAAACCATGGGCGTACGCCGTGGGTTTTCTAATAGGACGTAAAGATACGTCGTAGTCGTAGTAGTAGTCGCAACGACCGTTCATTTCGTTCGTTACCGAGATAACTCGAGACGAGCAGCGAGGCAAAAATAATTTGTCGATCGTCGGTTTCGGTGGAAGTCGCCGAATTTAATGGAATATCGGAACTCTATCGAAGGTAGTTCGAAGGAAGTGTAAATCCAGATGCTTCGTCAGCGCGATTAGCAGCGATAGACGAGCATAAAATTTCTTTTATCTTCGAACGTACGTGAAATATTTGTCTTTACCATCGCGTATCCCATTCGTTATATCGTCAACGAACCAGCCGTTCCCTCCAGCTTCTCGTAAAACGCGCACCACTTTATTTCGATTTTGCACCACGATTTCTTTTCACACGCGACGCCCCACTTTCGAACTGCGCGTTGGGTACCGCCGCGCGAGTCCGGCGGTATTTCGTCGATGCGACGATTTAGAATTTAATAAGAAAAGATAAGAAAGAAGAAGGGTCTTCTCGGTAGAAGCAGTAGATTCGCTTCGGTGTAAGATTACTCGCCTTGTCTTGTTGAAGACTGTGAAGCGTCCCGGATTCCTCCTGGAGCAACCGATCCAGCTTGTAGAGCTGCTGCACCTTGGCCTACGACAGAAAAGCGAACCGGTGGTAACCTTCGAGTTTCGCATTCCAAGCGCGAGAGCAAAACCGCGGAGTCTCGTTTCAACCGGAATCGCGCGATTCCGCCGCGCCGTACCGTCGGTGTCGTGTTCTCGCATCGCGATCGTCACGATCTCCGAATATGACGAGAGTAAGTGGCATATTTCGCGTTACTACGCATTGTCACGCTTTCCGCTTGACAAGATACACGATTTCGACGATCGATATGCGATGACCTTACCATTTCTATGCGACATAAACTTGAAGTAAACTCGAATAGACTGGATACCTGTAACTGTCCGTGATCGGGGCTCAGTCGATCCCAGTCCCTGCGTTCCTCCGCGAGTAAACGCTGCTCTTGAATCTTCTGATTGAACTCCAACCGATGATCTCTCGCGCCGTCGTGCGTCAAGTCGTGGCGCGAACCTGCGCCCGTGACGCTACCGATCCCGTTCACGGTGTTAGGATTGTACAAGGATCCCAGCTTCACCATATTGTCAACGAGGTTCACCAGCGGCTTGCCCTTCTCGTACTACGCGTAAACACGGAAAGAAATAAACGTCGCCGATCTCTGTCCGATGAAGGAATCGTCAACTCGCGTCTCACTTCGTTTAGAATCCGCGTGACGAAAATGTTCTTGCGCCAATTTACGTAAAACGTTTACCTGCTTCTCCAGATCCATAAGGTGCTTTTTCAATTCGTCCAGTTTCCGAAGGTTCTCCAGCCGCCGCGGTGTATCGAGTTCCGCCAATCTAGCCTGCGGATCATAAAAGATCGCACCGTTTTAAATCCGACGATACCTAATAAATTTACGTAGGACGTCGCTATCGAACTCCTCTAACGTGACGATTCTCCCGACGCGACGAACCGCGTACCTCTCGTCGTCGTTATTCCACTTATCGCCTCGATTTTATGGACGATTTTACGGGTCAAATCGAATCGAACGGAGCGGCAATAAGTTATTTATTTCACGGATTAAAAAATCCTTTTATATGAAAGGAAATAATTCTATTATATAGAATAAATCGCGAATGAGATAGTTTAAATTTATTCGCATAGGCCATTTCGAAAAGGTAAAAACGAAGGGACGAAAACGAGCTCGCAACCTATGCGTAAACCGAGGACGCGCTGCACGTGCGTAAGCGATATTCGATCCATGAAATATGTATAAGTCGCGCGTACGTTACGTTTGTACGTTCGTGCAACGTCCACGGTTCTCCGTATCTGTGTCTATCGACCAGCAAAAGTAAACAGACAAGTAAGAATCTAGCAAACGTCGAGAACAACGAGAGAAAAGAGATATAGACACGTAGTCGCCTCGCGTCGGTACGAGCGCGGCAAGGCTGGCTCCTCCGACGTCTCCATCGCGATGGAATCTATCCCGAAACGGGTCGATCCCTCGAAAGTTTTAAAACTCCGGACCTGTGCCTCGATCTCCACCTGGCAGGTCTCCATCGCTTTGTAGATAATCGCGTTCTGACGTCGCAATTGTATCAGCAGTAGCACCAGCTCCTCGTGAGTCCTACCGAGGAGTTCGCCGGCGGAAAAGCGAACCACGCCCGCCTGGGTCCCGGGATGCCCGCTGCTCTCTATTCGTTGGCAGCCCGCGTTGCTCTGTCGAGGCATGCAATCATCTCTCGTTAACGATCGCGTATTTTTCCCAAACGGCGTTTACACCTCGACCGTGCTTCTCCGCCGCACGAGCGGCGAACAAGGCGAACGAGGGTGGCGAACAATTCGGTGTTTCCACGAGCAGCCCGATCCGATCCTCCCGCGGATACTTACGTCCGGTCTTTCGACTAACGACAAATCTGAAGATTCACCGACTGACTCGTCCTTCGTGATCGTCGTTCCGATTCTATCTACGCGTCACACACAATTTCTCTCGCGCAGGGGCGATCTAATTTTTTGGTTGAACAACGTTAAATGCTATGCGGGTCGCATTCCGATTTGCGGTTCGAACGAGATGATCGAAAGCACGAGCAGCTACACACCTACGTGGTATGTAAATGGTATAAGTATGTATGTAAATGGAAGAAAGGCGCGCGATCGACTGAACGTGAAAACTGTGACTAGTGCGGTTGGTCAAGCGAAGCGTTACACCGAATTATTTCACCTCGTAAACGTCGTCAAAGAATCCATCGGCGTTTACGACGACGATTCAGATTCCGTGCGATTGGCATGGGAGGAACGAGAGTAGAGGAGGACGTGTAAAACGTTGGCCAGCGGAGACGTCGAGCGAGGTAGGGTTTCGTTGGTCGAACGTCGCACTTGGTCAATTGCAACGTTTTATAGATTGTCAATAAGAAGATTTCGAACATCGAATGTGTAAAAAAATAAGAAAGATCGAAGAGAGGATTAAGAACGACAATGTGCGAGACACGTGAAGGTGTCTATTACTTGGACCTCAGGCTTGACCGTTTTCCAGACTCTGAAAAACTGAATAGTCGATACATCTGAAATCCAGATATATCAATCAGCCACTTTCTTCTGAGGTATTTCGTCATGTGTTTGCAAGAGTTTTGTTCGGTCTTGTCGTTTTGCGAGTTCGATCTGTTTTTTTCTGTTCAATCTGTATTTCGGTTTTGCTTACAAACGATGGTGGATCTGAGCCGACACTCGTTTATTTTACTTTTCCTCTATCGAGCCATGAAATCCGTCCGTTCTAATCCTGACGCGTTGGGATACCATCCGTACGAATTGAGGAACAGCGGGAGGATATAGACAAGCCAGTTTTATCGGTGAGCCAACGTCCTTGTTTCCGTAGTCGCAACGTTTCTCGTGATTATTCGTTCGTATCCTCGGATGCTCGAAGAGATTGCCCGAGACTCCTCGAGTATACGCACGCGCATACTCGCGCTGATCGCGCGAGGAACTTTAATTAAAAATCTATACGGCATACCGGCATCTCATCTCCTCGTCGAATTAATTCGTTCTCCAGACGTCCACGAAATGCTCGTTCTTCTCGAAATACATCAAAGACCAATGATTTGACAAACGTGTAATCGCGTATATATTTGACGATAAGACCGACGTCGTTCGAAACAGCGTGGAAATCGTCCATTCGCGAATCGCTGCACGTCGCGAAAAGAACAGACGCGCGGTTCGACGTGACTCCTACGTATTTACGTCCGGTACGCTTCGACGCGATGTCAGCGCGTCCAGACGCGGACGCTGAGAAACGATCGTGGATACCAGCGGCGTCTCTCGTACCTGGTGATTCACTCGCGATCGATTTTGGTCCTGGCTGCGCGTCCATCCATCGAGCCGGAACAGAAGAAATTGACAAACGCGATCAGAACGAGTAGAACAAAAGCCGGCGAAGGAAGACTTTGAAAGACTGGCGCGGTACACACGGTTCCCGATCGGACCTCGAATCGACTCGACCTGTCCGCTGCAGGTATCCGGCGTCCGGCGATCCCGGCATGCACCACCGTGGTTCCTCGACTCTCCTCTTCCCCTCTTCTCTCGTCACGTTCCCGTTTCGTTCTCGTTTCACCTCGGATCTGGCTGGCTTCGTCTCGAGTCTCGACCACGCGCGGGTCTATGCTCCTCGCTTCTAAAGCGGCATTTCCAACCGCGAGACGTCCCTTTTGTACTTTCATACTCCTGCGATCCAACTGTTTTAGCTTTCGCTCTCTTCTGGTTGGATCACGCGTCAGGAAGTGTCTAACGATTCAGGTAAATGTGCTCAGTTCTCGCCTCCTTTAGGGCAATCGTATCTGGGTGAATCGACTTTCTTTCGAAATTCGTCAGAACGTTTTGGTCCCAACGTTTCCTACCTTCCCTTCTTCTAACAGAGTCATTCAAATAGTAGCAACGTACATATTCAATTTACCTTCGAACGTATTTTCGTCTTTACTTTCGTCTGTCGGGGTAAGTGGTCGTCATATCGTATTCATTTTCATTTTTTCCGCGACGGAGAATAGCTCCGACGTCGGGTAATTTTGAAATCCATAAATTCTGAGTTAATCGAGTTCGAACGTGTTCGAGAGGACAATCTCGCTCCCTCGCCTCGTCCTTCGAACGTTTCTTCCGTTGAGAGGGAAGCTTAAAAGCTCGTCCGCAGTTCCCTGGCACGGTGCCCTCGCTGACCATCGCCGACCACTGCCGACCGTATGCAGAATCGACCCTGGACCTTGCTTTCCCTCTATCCTTCTCCTCTTCGTCCGTCCATCGTCTCTTCTTTCAGTCACGTAGCTCCTTCCATTTGCTCTTTCCGTCCTTTTCCTTCGCGGGTCACTCGCGAACCGCCCCATCGTTCTTTTCTCCTGCATCGAGTCGCGCGTTACATCCTCGCGAAAACCCTACCCGCGTCTCGCGTCCCGCGTCCTCGAAGCAACGAGAAGACTTCGACGTTTTCCACGAAACTCCGATAGACGTTGATCGCCCGAGGGTCAGAATTTCCGAATTAATTGCACGCATAACGCGAAACTACCTTCGATCGCGTCGACTCGCCCGGAGCGATGGTTCAATCTTTAATCGATTTCACTAACGAAATTTTTGTGCGACGTCCGCGTTCTCCGTTTATGAGGTCTCGAGGGTGCTATAGAAACTAGCGATTCTAGCGGTGCCATCCGGAAAAAATGATGAAAGTTCGCGTTTAATCGTAATGCGCGAGTACCCGCTAAACGGGAGTAGGGAAAGAAACAGAGGAGAAAGGGAGAGAGTGTGAGAGAAGAAGCGACTAATCGGCCAAAGCCGAATCGACTAATTTCTCTTTCCATGCCAAACCATGCCAATCCACTCGAACGTTCCCGTTCTACGACGAACGTCGTTTCCTCCGTACTCACCCGCTTCTGCAGCAACTCGTTGCACTCCCACGCGTACTGATTTTGTCTGGTAACACTACCGCGACCGCTGCCGCTGCCGCTACCGCTGCTTCGGTCCGCTTCCCTCCCGAGCGGACTCGCCATTTGCCTCTCGACTGCGGATAAGCGAGGAAACTATCAGAGTCTCGCGAGGAACCGTGTTCGAAGATCTACGCGCTTCAATTAGTTTGATAATTGGATGCAATCGGAAACGCGTACGTTGTCGGATCGAAGTCGACCGAAACGAATTGCGGAAATTTGCGTAACTATTTGCTGTATTTCGTTCATTCATTCATTCATTCACTCATTTCATTCAATTATTCATAAACGGGCAATTAGTCCTTTTTTTTTTATAAAATTAATATCATACAAAGGTGACAATATTTCGGAACGAACGGGGAACAGGGCGAGTGCGTGCAACGAATCGACGAATGACGAAGGTCACTCACTCGGGCTGTGAATTCGTACGTCGCTGTCGCAAGAGCTGGAGACTCGTCGATCATTGTATGGAACGTGCCGTAATTGACCAGCCGGACTCGTCAGTCGTTGGACGGTCGAACGTCCGATCGACGACGTCAGCCTAGGGTCCTTCCCGTCAAAGTTGTTCATTCTGCGAAATTTCATACCGAATCGATCGTTATCCAGTATCATCACCGTCGCTTCGTTCATTATCTCCAGAAAGAATCATTGAGCTTTTATAAAACAAGTACAGTGCGAACGGCTGTCAAAAACCATAAGAGTAGATTAGCGTATGTGTTGTTTTAATGTCAATGACAGCCTGTAAAATTTTCTATGAAATCGATTACTTTAATTCTACTGCTCGTTTAGACTTCTCATCCCATGTATATAAAAAGGGGTAGTTCTTGTTAACCCGTGTAATAGATAAATAAATAAAAAGAAGTTTGAAACCGACCATTTAGTGTTAAAGATCACGTTAGAGTCGAACATAAAAAATATGCATTATACACCTAGAAAGAATACTGAATATCGAATTTCTTTATTTGTCACAATGAAGATCGTCCTGGCCTTGTCAATGCCACCAAAGAGGAAACATGCCCCCTAAGGCTACCGCTTTGTCGGTGGGCATCCCACGTCTCCTGTTCGCACTCCAGTTGATTTACATGGCTCAATGGGGAGATCGAATTCGACCCGCGGCGCACACGCCGAGATAAGGATCGATCGAGGTGACTCGAGCTTCACGGGAGCAAACGAGTATCGCGCTATTCGCACTTACACGGGGGATGATCCTGTACCGACGACGTCGCCGCTACTGGCGACCCGCAACAAGTGCGAATCGGTAAAATCGTTTTCCGATTGCCTGATCGATCTGGGGGTGGATTGATGCAGTGGTAACGGCGACTGTCTATGCGCCGCGTTGTTCCTCGTCAAAGGGAGAGTAGACACCGTGGCCATGGCCGGTGGCTGGATTTGCGGTGATCGTCTCTGGACCAGCTGCGAGGTACTGACGGCCCTCGGCGGAAGCGGGTCCCTGCCTATCACCGATCCCGACCCAGACGCTGCAAATTGAACATCGCACCTAATAATACGCGACACTGTTTCCTCTTTGACGTTTACCCTCGGCGAAAAGTAGAATCGGACTCGTCACGTCTCGTGACGACAATGTCACGGGAGTTACCGTGTACGCGTTACCTGACCCTACCGCGATGCGTTCCGTCGAGTCGCGACCGTTGCAGCTGCGAATCGAACAAACGACGAATCTAACATCCAATAGATATCGATAGAATAATCGGCGTCGTGTGCAATGATAATAATAATAATAATTACAACAACAATACTAATAGATTATACTTTATTAAACGGGTATGAACCCTCGTATAATCCTTCAGCAAATTCACATGCTTAAATGGGTAGACTCCAGTAGCTACGCGATAAGGTAAACTGTCAATGTTACCCATAAAATTAGCTAAAAACATGGAGTTACTTTTCGACCTTAAATACAAATATTCCTCGGTCGTCAGGTACCTCTTCAGAAAGAGGAAAATCAAATCTGACACGCTCTGGTCATTATTTCAATGAAAACAATCTGTTTTGAATAAAAAGACGACCGAGTATCATAGGTACCTTGCAAATGTAACAGAATTAGAAATGACAATTTCCATATGTGCTGTAACTACGTTTTTTAATCATATGCCAGTTTCGATCAGACCGTCCTTGCCACGGTTGGCTGGATTTCCAGTGACCTTGTCGCCATCGGTCTAAGTATCGCTGACACGCCTACACGATCCATTCCCGAAATTCGATCGGAGGAGAATTCCAGGAAATGCGAAATTCGAAAGTAGGTATTCCGACGCGACGAGAAGAATGCGATGGTGCCGAGCAGCGGCACGCGCCTTCGAACGCGTTCCGCTATTTTTACGAACGGCGAGCGTCCAGTAACGCGGAATATCCTGGGAATTCTTGCCGAAAATACGACGCCGTTCGAATTTCAAACGAAGAACGGTGAAATGTGGAATGCGAAAAATTTCAATCGCTTCGAGCTCGTCGCGTACCGCGAATTCGTCGCAATCCCATTAGAAATTGATCCTATCGTCCGATAACACGCAGAGATCGCTTTCAACGTCCATCAATCTTCTCGGCCCGCAATTCATTCGAACGAACAAGAACCTAAATCGGGATCCAAATTTACGACAGTGCACAACGCATTGTCACAGGGTAAAGATAAAAAAAAAATCAAATTCTATGTTGGGACTTAAAATCATCATCATGGTTCTTAAATGTCTATTACTACAATAAGAAATGCAGAATTAGAAGAATTTATTATAAGAATTATATTAGAAGAAACAAATTAATAATTGAAGATATAAACAAACGAATCACGATGCCCTGCTACCTTGCGTGCAAGTCAAAAGACTTATTCGGAGTTGATATTTTTTTTACGGAAAGTGTTGGATTATTTAATGACATAGAAAATGAAAATGAATCTTGTGTGAAAGACACTACTCTCAGCACACTGGGTTTTTAACACGAGGATATTGAGCTAATTAGCATGAGACTGTTTATTACTGGAGGTCTGGGTCATGAAGACTGTACAGGGTCAGGGTGCAGAGTCTAGTTTTCTCTAATTGGTTCCCGAAATGTTCTTAAAAACAGTAGACTCTGCTTCACTTGCAGTGCGTTTTTTCCAGCGTACGAACGTCCTCCCAAGTCGTTAAAATAAAAATAATAGTAGTAGTTATATAAAAGGCGTTTCATTTATTATCTCATTTCCAATAGGATCGATCCTTTTATTAGCACAATGTATGCGGATGTATTGTGCCGTGGCAGATTGCAAAAAAACGTAAAACTATCGACAACAATATGTGAAGATATTTAGACCGAATGTTGATTAGTTCAAAAGTTATGATTTTTGTCCCGAAATCCCATATACGCAACGCGCTATGCAGTGCAGCGTTACCGCAACGCAATCACACGTTCGCTTCTTCGTTATTCAGAATTAAATAAACGTAGGATCGTAGCGTGGTAAACGCTGGCGTAAACCGTCCGCGTCGAACCTAAATTCGAAACGAAGCCAAGTCGATTTAACGCGCGTAACTCGAACCTCGTTTTAACTAGGTTTAGGTTATCGCAGGCATGAATTTCGTTCGCGGAAATTAGACGATCGCGTTTCAAGAACGGCGACGCGCACACATGAATGGATATGTGCAACCGAAAGCGAGTAGCGTGAGGAACGTTTTAAAACGAGGTAGAACCGTCAGGCGACACAATTCCGTACTACGCGCTCCATACGCAGCTGATATAGCGCAAAAAAAAGGAGGAATCGTGCGCGAACATGCGAGTCGTCGACAGGACCGTAACCTGTTCCGCGGGTATGGGAACTGTAACGGACGAGAGGAATTACCGTAGGCCGTAGGAACCGACTCGTTTCCTCGTTTCGGAACCGAACGACCCGCAATCGCCGCAAGGGGACAATTCGTCGCGCGCGATTACGCAACGAGGAAACTCCGAAATTGAAACGAGGCCGTTCGCGCCTCCGCGTTTACGTAACAGTTCCGCGCCCCGAGTATTCGTCGATGCGTTCGCAATTCGCGCAATCAAGCATTTTATTACGTTATTGACCGCCTCTTGTTGATCGAACGAGTCCGCGTTCGATTATATGGGAGAAAAGACGGCCGATCGCTTTTCTGTTGGTCTGGGAATCAAACCAAGGACTTTCCGCTTGTTAGGCGACTGCTCTACCATCTAAGGAAGTAAGCTGTCCCAATCGATCGACGACTCTAATTCTCTCAATTCTCATAAACACCAAATATTTGATTCCCTGCAATGGCGAAGATAAATTATTCGGCTCGCGACGTCTTTTTCAAAGTAAGGACAGCAGGGAATCCGGACGTACCGTGAATTTTCTCATTTCCAATGTACGAAAATACCGCTAAAAGGAAATCACCGTGACGGAGTCGAAAAATATGCGCACGCGGTACGCACTGGTGCGCGACCATCGAGCACCGTTCATTAATTTTCAATTTTCTACGCTCCGTTCTCCGATCGTCCTCTCTCTCCTCGAGAACTGTCCCAAGAACGCATAACGTGAGTATCGTTAGGAAGAGCCTCTCGCGTATGCGTGCTCACGCCTTTGCCACGGTCGCCTGCCTAAATCGCAGCTGTCGCGCGGCCGCGTTTGAAATTCCCGATGAAAGAAAGAGAACGGCGATGTTCCGCATGCCTGCAATTTTCTCGGATTTATCCGAAGCGGAATACCAGCTACTGGGTGCGCCATTTCTTCACCGATACGAGCCGCGAACTGCGATGTTCCGAATCACGCGATTTCGAATGAAGTTACGAGTTATCGAAATTTCAAGTCCCCTTCAAACACCCACGCCTGAAGCGGGTCGCAATCGTGAAATATTCCTTTGTAACGTGACGTGACGTGATGCAATTTTTACGTAGTAGCTACTTGGACGTATATACGCATAGAATGCGAATGGTGTGCGTGCAGCGTTGGTATCGACGTTGGCTAGACACGTTGATCTTTCCTGTACCGATGCCAACTGGAACATCTATATTTGCAAGACACGCGAGGCGCCGTCCAGAATTCCTCCGCGGCGCGTACAGTGAATAATGTCGTCGAATCGCAGAAACTGTTCCATCGAACGACGTTTCTACGATTCATCCTAATAGATCGAACGGGTATCTGTTACTCGCGTCGTTTCGCAAGCTCTCGCGAACGAAGGTCTCCGGCCTCGAGATTTCTTCTCGTCGACTTCTCGCGGGATCGAGAAACCAGCGAGCGTGCCTCTGGCGAGAATGCCGACTCGACCTGGTGCCAACTATGTACATAACGGGATCTGTAGTGATCAAATGGGTCAGGCGCGTCGGGCCCAGTTGATACCTGCGATATCGCGGCCTCTTCTCTCTCTCTCTCTCTCTCCTCTTGTTCTCCAGCTGTGTTCGTGTTCCTCAATGCCAACTAACTACGACTATTGTATCCATACGTATAAGTATGTATCTCCTTATGCATGAGAGATACTCACGCCCTTTTTCGCTTTGAAAATTGCATTCCTTACTCATAAATATTCTCCGATATCTACAATATCGAGATATAAACGAAGGGTGCAGAGTATCCAAATCCCAGGAACGAATTTATGTATATGTAGTACCAATACATATTCATACGCGATACCCTAAGCCTAGCCTAACGTGGGTGCCCATCGCCACGTGCGTTCAGTGTATACATGCCCTGACATAGGTGAACGTATCTGATCCGAATCGCGAAAAATGAATAAGCGCGCGATAGTGCAATCATTTATTACTATGTCAGTCAGATCAAATTGTAAAATAACAAAATTGACGGCTAGGTGACGACGACCAACATCTGGGGTCTCGAGAAAACGAAATATTAAGTTAGTTACAGCGTAGATCTGGAACTGTGCAGTTGGCACTAAAGCGAGCCGTGCTGTCATTGTTTCTTGCAAACTAAGTATACTAGTTAACAGAACGTGGAGTTTGATTTCGATATCCTGACATGCTAGTTCTGACTTCCTTAAACTCCGTATTCCTTCCTACATTTGAGAAATTGAATCAAACCGAGCATCAAAGTATGAACACAAAGAAGGAACTTGGTCTACCTTCGCGAAAATCGAATTTATCGCGCACGGTCGTCGAACAGTTACTCGTTTCTCATCTCGGCTAATGACCCTACAGGACTGAGCACCCTCATAAAAACGTGTCTAAACCCAGAGCGCGAAATGTCAAAATTAATAACTGAAAACGAACTCTTTTCACTGTCAATACGTCAGTCCAATAAAAATTAACACTTGAAATATTCTTTTAGGAATAAAATATCGATAATAATAAAATAATGTCACATTATTTTTTATAAATATCTATTCCGCGAGTTTTGTATAATGTTCGAATCCTGACAACAAATAGCAGTACATTTACTTTATCCCTGTTTCCAGTTTAGGTGGACTTTTTCGCAGCTAATCAGAAACGATCACTTAGGTGTCCAGTTGCTCCCTGGAGGGTCACTAGTCTCGACTACCGTTCATTCGTTACTCCATAC